TGTTTGAAAAAACAAATATACGCGATTTAAATCCGGAAAAATAGTTTAATTTCCTATGTGTAACAATCGCGAAAACCTAAAAATTCTTATAGCACTTCTCAGTGTACTTTTTGCTTTCTAATTTAAATTATCAATATATGTTAAATTGCAGAAATTTTTAATTTAGTTTGTCTATGGTGTTTTGAGATTGCCATCAATATTTAGTTTTTTTTTTAAATATAACAGCAAGTGACGGGACGAACAAGTCGTGCGCCTGATGGTAAGGTACGCGCCTTTACATAACAGTTGCAGTGCCACACAGAGCTTTAAATCGGAAAGATCTGCAGGGCACTGTCACTGCGCCTGTCGCTCTGAGACATAAATTGATAAGTCCCATGTGCCTGTAATTTCACCAGCACCCTTACCCTTCAAAACCAGAACGCAGTAATGCTGACATTACTACTAAAGTGTTTTGTTTACAATTTAGAACACCCAAGTCAAATTGGACAAAAATGTGTTATGAATATAATGTTAGTGTTGCTAATAAATAAAATAAATATCAATTTCTCAGAATCCGGGTCGTAACCATGAAAACTGACTTTGTTAGGCAAATTACTGTTATCAAGTTGACAAAGAACTGAAATATGTCCGCCTCACTAGAACTGTACAACACTTAAAAATCACACTTCTTGATTGAATAATCACAACTTGACACAAAGCATCTGAGCCTATCACGTAAAATGATTGCACCAACAACTTTAAGTAATGAATTTAATTGTAACATGATTGATTCAATTGAAGATATTAAGAAGTGTGACTGAATACATTAAGCTCCATTTCATGAGTCAATTTTTTCAATGTATTCTTTTGTTAGGTCTTGTTATGATTTGTCAGAGGGTTTGATTTACGAGGCCAAAAGTTGAACGAAAATATGTAAAAGACGACGTGGCCTGCGATTAAGTCAACAAAAACAAACTCCGTCACCAGTTAGCAACAAAAAAAAATCTTCGTGAACAATGAAAGTGAGGTCAGATGGGGTTCATTCAAGTGTATCGACCCGTTGAATGGGCGTTTCACTCGTTTCTCAGAAAACAGATTGTCTGCGTTACCGATTGAAATGAAGTTGGCGACAAAAAACTATTTGGCTGTACATGTACTTTCTCCCTCTCTTGGATGATGAGATTCGGACAAAGCAATATAAAACGTACGTATATATTGACAAACATACGACGTACTTTTTTAAATTACCATAACGGTTCGTATCCCCGTCGTGGCATGTACTTAGGACTTTAATTTTTAAGTAAGGTGCGTTATGTAATGCTGCCCGTATGTGGAACCTTCTCCCGGTCGAGGTCAGACAGTCGCCTTCGGTTCGGGTTTTCAAGGGTGCTCTTTTGAAGTTTTGGAATTGTTCAAACTCCACATGTTAGAGCTTTTGAAATATTTATTTACATTTGATATATTTATTTATAGTTTTATTTGTGCATTCATTTTATTATCGACTTTGTATGTATTAATGTATCAACATTACTTAATATACATATATGTATTCGTATGTACATTTGATTTATTAAATTTATCTGTGTATTTATTGAGTATAGTATATTCCATTTCTTTACTTATCTATTTTTAGTGCCACCCCAAAAACCAACTTTCCTCATAGATTTTTCAAAGGTTAGTTGGAAGAAATCTCTTTATGGGATAAGCTCGCCTTTATACACAAATATTTAAATTGTACAATAAAGTGTTTAAATAATAAATAAATCGGAATATCGTCCGAAATTTCACAAACCTTGAAAAATGTGACCAGAATGGCGCACTATGGCTTTAACCCAAAAGACTCGTGTCGAGTGGTGACACGTCTAATGATTTGATGATGATAATGATGAATGCAAAATGATTTGGCTACTGCTTTGCAAAAAGAGCTATTAAAATAATTGTAACTTTTTTATTAAAAAAAACCGACCTCAAAAATTTGCGGAATTACATCTATTTGCCAAGTTTTATTTAAATCGATTACCGGAAAATGCGCGAAACCGAACCCATCCCCTAGTTTGCCAATCTTGGAGGTGGAAATTTTCTTCAAATTTAAATGGGTTCAATACAGAGTTACCCTCTTTCCAGCAAAAAAAGAATCATCAAAATCCGTTCTCAAATACCGGAGTTATCGCGTAACATACACACAAAAAATACAGTCCAATTAAGAACCTTTTTTTAAAGTTGGTTAAAAATCATTTACTAACTGCCTCCGTGGCCGAACGGTGACCATTGCCACGCAGAGGTCCCAGGTTCGATTCCAGGGCCGGGAGAAATATTTGCATGACCTACATTTATTTCTCTCGTTGGGTGTAATTTGTGGTTGTCTATGTGTATGTCCGTGGCACCCGCGATACAGGAATTCCCTAGTGCACACACTCAACATAGCCCCATGTTGAGTGTGTGCGTGATTTTTTTTTAAGCTTTTATTCCTACCTATCAAAGATTTGACAAAGCTATAGATAGCTTAATTTAGATATCTATTACAATAATGTGATTACAATAGCTGACTGCCACAATTAATTATTTGACATAAAGATTGTATTATAAGGTGGTTCGTTTGAAGTGGTACGTACTTATAAATGGAATGACGATGAAGCAACAAAAATGCTGTGTTACACCGAAACGACAATTGGATTTATTGCAATAGCAAATACCTTAAGTTAAATACCTAGTATTTATTTTGGTATTTAAATTATAATTTATATAAATAAACTTTAGATAATTAAATTTTGTATTCAATAGTTAGATTTTAAGCTAGGCTGTATGTACGAAAACGTATGCCAAACTGAAAAAAAATTCTCGTTTGTCAAATAATGCCTGTTCACCTTTGTGCCTTGACTCCAATGTATGTAACCTGAGTAATTTTACAAGTTCTATTGGCTTCAATTTTACTAAGAAATAAGATTCAACCAGCCCTCTATACTCAAAACCTAAAAACATTCCAAAATACATTAACTCGCAAAAATTCTTACAAGTCATTAAAAAAACCGCAAACATCACCCAAATACCGGTTCCATATTGCTTTTATCGTTACCACAACGACCTTTTATCACTTAATACAGCTGCAAACAATTTGCGGTTTTGTACCGACGCGGATCGGTCAATATAGGAATCAATCGACCAATTGAATGTTAATCACTTCGAAATGCGTTTGTAAATAGTTATGCTAAAGGTTACGGACGCGTAATATTGGTCTACTGTCCCACCTTATGTCACGTTTCGAATCCTGTTACATAGAAGGAATTTTCCTTTGTCTTCGATCTTTGTATTAATAATTATATCAAAGGTTTATATTTAACATTTATAAGTAGGTATGTTATTGTTTGTAGTGTTTCGAAAGAGAACGTAGTTATAATGATATATAATATAATAACGCACATACTCAACATTTCCCCCCACTAGGGAAACCGTGTGTCGCGGGTGCCATGGACCCACATAGACAAACTCACGAGAGAAATAAATGTAGGCCATACATATATTTTTCCCGGGCCTGGAATCGAACCTGGGACTGTGGTGGTTTGGGCGCATGGAGTAGATGAATGAAAGTAGAGTGGCAAAAGAGATAATAGTACAGTGTTTTTTTTTTAACTGAGACAGTATGGGAAATCCGAAACCATATGAGAAACAGGGAAACTGTGTTAGGAGCCATTATGTATTTATTTGCGAAAACAATTTTGGCATTGACAATTTTTGGTCAAGCGTGAATTGTTCATAAAAATGAATAAAAATGATTATTTTATTTAGTGCTGATCGACTCAGTTTTATGTAAGGATAGTTTTATTGTATTAGAAGGAAAATGGAAGGAAAATTTAATGTTTTTTCATACAAATACCAAAATTGTCGTATTCTTTTATTGTATTACATTATATTCCTGTATTTCCTATAGTTTCGAACTTCCCCATACTGTCCCTTATAGTTTCGGATTTCCCCATACTGTTCTAATTAACAAAAAAAAAAACACAGTGTATAGAGCCAACATGGAAGTGGCAATATTGGAAGAGAACGGCCAGATAAAATCGAAAATATTCTTAAAAAGGTTGTAACGCGTAATGAGAAGAGTTTCTAAATGGAGGAGAGGTTTGACAGGATATTGCAAAGCGATCGCCACGATCCGATAATTTCTGCCTGCCCTAATGGGAATCTACAGGCGTGAGTCTAAGGATGTATGCATTAAGGTTGTGTAACAGTCATACATATTTTTGTGGTATAAGAATTCAACATTATTTAATTGCAACTCGTTTAGTTTTAGTTGGCGATTTTGTTATATGTATGTATATATTTCCCAGCACTAAATTGCTCTAGTGATGTAATAGTACCAGTGGTGAGCCATGACATAATATACTAATCCACATAAACAACATTTTCGCTTAATTTCGGACAAACAAGATATTATTTTATCCCAAGCTAAACGATTACGTGGGCAATTACGATTTATTCATAATATATAAGATAGATTGTTGCGTAACCGACTTTCTGTTGAAATCTCACATGCGGTTTCTTTTAAAAACACCCTTTCCTACTGGTAATTAAGATTGTTTAACATTTGTTTATCTATTTCACTTCCTCCCAAGTCACGACAAACGCATGTTGTTAATGTATTAATTCTTGTTTCCCGCCTAATTAAAGTGACACTGATGTTTAGCCAAATATGACAAAGAGAAGCCGTGTCAGCCTAATGGTTTGACCTACCCTCAACCAGAGGACGTAGGTTCGAATCCGGGTTCTTACCTTAAATTGGAATTTAATTTAAAATTTACCAAGAGCTTTTTGGTGAAGGAAAAACCTACACGTCGAAGAAGGTTCTCAACCACCGGAAAACGTGTGAAGCACGGCGGACTATGGCAGAAAATCTCGCCTGAGAGGACACCCGTGCCTAGCAGTGGGGCGTCTAAATGGGTTGATGATAAGCAAAACAGATTCAAGATGGCCGCTGATGGTGCGTGGTACGCGCGAACGCGGGGAAATTAATAGTCATTATTTTCTGAATTTCGAATTTTCGTGGTTTATTGGATAAAGATTTGAAAGTAATTTATTTAATAACTCTTTATTGCACAAAGAAAATATACATGAAACACAAGTTATAAAGGACATATACAAAGGTGAGCTTATCTCTAGAAGAGATCTCTTCCAGCCAACCCTAGCCTAGGTGAAAAATGAAGTCTGCGGGACTAATTATTGTACAATAAAATTAAAATTTAAATGTGAGTAAATATATACATATATATGATATATACATATATATGATATATACATATGACAGATATACACACCTACATGAACTTTATATACAAAAAAAATATATACATAAGCAGAATATACATATATTATAATTTAAACAAATTACTACTTTATAATATATGTTACCTATTAGCTATCTAACGCGTTCGACAGGAAGTGCTCTTTTAATTTGTGTTTGAAAGATGTCACCGATGGACTGTCACGAATGCCAGCAGGCAGTCTATTCCACATACGAGTTGCACTTACCGTGAAAGAGTTGTGGAAGAATTTCGAGTTGGATTGGGGATTTTGTTAGTGATCTAGTGTCACAGGTACGTTTTGGGCGGGAACTGGGGGATAAGGGAGAAAAACAGGAACACAGATAATGAGGAAGGGGTAATGTAGAATTTTGTAAAGGAGACAAAGAACGTGCATATCTCGGCGAAGTCGGATTGGTATTTCCTAATATTTAACAGTTAATGTAACATTTTAATTGATTATTTACGTACGGTTATGAACGCTCTGATACAGGCAATTCAATAATATATTATTATGATAATTACAATATACAATGTCACTACGCAACTTGACCGAACTTGACTTTTAATTGCAGTAGCGAATTAATATGCAATAAAATTATAATAAACACAATTATCGACTACAGTAAAACTCGAATTTCTTTAAAGCTTGGACGCGACATGACTAACGACGTCATCGTCATTACCTCCTCTAAGAAGCTACTGTTCTTGGACGAGTCGAGTTTCGGTACGTTTTCTACGTTTTATAAACTGTGGCACCCACAATATCGGTTTCAGTCTTTTAATGACGGCCAGGAGTGCTGTACTATCACCAAAGTTGAAGTATTATCATGCCGAAAAGGTATATGTTTGCTTGGCGGCCCAATAACGGTTTGCTCTGTGGTCGCTGGATGATGAGGTCCCGGGTTCGGTTTCCGATAAGGAAAATTTTGTGAATTAACTTTCCTAACATGATGCTGGTCTGGGTGCCTGGCCTATAGGTTTCAAAAAAGTAATAACGCTGATATGTTAATTCATTGCCTACGATTAAAATACTGTAAGAATTAATACCCAAATGAAAACATCCATCAAATTATTGATATACCTCATCTCTAGCAAATGCAGTGGTAATGAAGTAATTTTTGCACATTGTCGTAAAAATTATAGAATTAAAAAAAAAAATTTTTTTCTTCCCGCTTTTTTACACAATTAAACAAAAGCTATTCATCTAAAAGCGAGACTTCTAAAAATAATTTATGAAATACGTAAATTAATAGTGCAGTCTTTACAAGGTTATATTGTATAAAATTTTATGAACTGTAACAGGGATTGTTCTAGATTATTTTACGTATAGTTTAAATTTTATGGTTAAGCAAAATCGTAATTGACATTTTTACGTGACATTAAAACTTTAGACGTCATTATCTCGAAAATTACCGAAATGCGTTTGCTATATTACCAAGGAGGGCAGTGCATGGTCGGTACTAACCCTACCTTTAAGATGGCAAGGCGTCAACTTTGCTAATAGCAAATAGTTTTCTATTATAATTTAATTTCTTTTTAATGTAAATAATGTAATAATTTTTTAATATAAATAATATCAAATATTTTTTTAATATAATTTTCCAATACAAATATTGTGCGTATTCCTAGCGGCGATAGACGTGCAATGTGAACTTATTATAGACGAACAGACCTCTGTGCGTGTGATGCAGCGGATGGTGATGATCCGGCGGAGGCCCGCTGGTGACGTTGTTGTATATACGCTTGTAGTGGTTGTACACCGCGACCGAGAGGACCTTCTTCGCGTACTCCTGCCCAACGACGTGCTTGTTCAGGTAATCGAAGATCTTTTTCGGTGGTGGGGGCGGTTTTCTGCAAACAGACGTTGGTGGTTGTTTACCTTCTTCTAAATGATATATCAATAATTAATTGTTATTATTATTATTTATAAAAAATAAGTGCGCATTTGACCTCCATCTCACTTGATGGAAAGTGACGATGAGGTCGACGATGTTGCACACCTAAATAATGCCTATTCACTCTCTCCTTGAAAAGGTCCAAGTTATAGCGTTCGGGGATAAGTCCGCAGGCAGGTAATTCCACTCTCTAGCCGTTCGCTATATTATTAATTAGCGAATACGATAAGGAAGCGATACGCTTCGTCCGAATCCTGGGAATATCCACAACATAGGGGTAGAACCCCAGCCCACGCCTAGTCCCCCGATGATGGAAAGGGGAAGGCGGAATCAAATTATGCAATTTCATCGCACTCTCTCCGTGATATATCCTGTAAAATACCGATAAGCAGGCAACTTTACGGCGTTGTTCAAGGCTCTTCACCTCTACTTCTTCGTCGACAGCGCAAGGGGGTAGACAGATATGTCTGCTCTTAAAGCTGTCATCTGCCGCCGTCCAGTCAACCCGTGACCATGGAGCGTACAACCGTTACGAAATATCGGGAAAATAAAAAGAAGTCATACCGTGGTAAGAAACCTGATATTAGTGATAATCATTTTGTGAATAACCACGAAAGTCTTATAATCTATATATTACAGTTTGTTGAAGGATGATTTTTATGTAAAGAAGGCGGCAAAAGATCAGACGAGCCATTTGCAACATCAGAGGAGCTGCCTATGCGATGCCAGACTATGAGGGCCCTATAAACACGCTTTTTGAAGAATCCCATGTTATAGCGCAAAGGAAATACTTCAGGAAGATCATTCCTCATCTTGCAGGTTCAAGGAAGTAACGAACTGACTGTACACCTTCGACAGGAGGTGCGATGGTGGAAGCGAGACGTGGTACCAGTTCGAAAAGTTCCTCAGAGCACTCCTCATTATAAAGACGGTAGAACACAGAGAGCCAACGTCTCTCCGTAGGCTAAAGGCTCCATACCGTCTGCGAGTTTGAGATCATCGACAATACGAGTCAAATGGGTCGAGCTGACATTTGGGAGCTCCTGCCCTGAGATGCGAGCAATACTCCATATGGAGCCGTACTTGTGTTTTATAAAACAAAGTCCTATTGGTACACCAGATATCGCGACGAGTATCAAAGAGCCATTTTTGTAACTAATTTGTTTTATATTGTCAAGCTGCAGGTTATCAAAGCTACTTTAATTTCTAGTGATAACAAACAAATAAACTAGATGGCGCTAATTGCACAGATTTTTACGAATGGCGCTGGCCATACATTTATTTTGCTTAGGATTAGCGCAATCTACTCATATTAGGAAGAGATAATTTATAAATTAGTTTGTGGCACACAATGCTATCTATTGTTACGCATATTTGTCAAAGTTCATAAAATAATTTTAGCTCATAATCAATATTTGAATATTATTACAAGGACAAAAACTGTGTAACTTCTTGTATTCCATAATTGGTAACTTCTTGTATTCCATAATTGATATCCAAACCAGGCCATATACACAAACAGTTATTTTACTTCATCTTTGGATTACTTTTATAGAGTACATTTCCAAAGAGTTACTCACGTAACATTGAAATGAAATTAAATGAATATCGATATGAAGATTTATTTACAAAACCCTGAGTTCGATGACTTTACGCGACTTTGGTGGGCTATTAATGACGCTAGAGAGCGATTAAATGACGCTACTAGTATTGTGTGTTAATTGTTTTGGACTAGTTATTCTCATTATTGTAGCTATTACGAGCTTATTATGCTAATACGCTATAAGACAAAATGTTGGAGGAAGGCAATAACTTAAAAAGGGAAACATCTACCTTTTTTTATAATAACCAAGCGACGACGGGAGGAAAAATCATGCGTCTGGTGGTAAGCGACACGCTTATCCTTAACAGTTGCAGTGCCATTAAGAGCTTTAAATGGCAAAGATCTGAGGGGCACCACCACTGAACCCGTCACCCTGAGACATAAGTTGACAAATGCCTGTAATTTCGACGCTCTTACCCAAAAATCATAATCGAAACACTTAAAAACATGCTAACATTACTGTTCGGCGGCAGAAACCAGGTAAGTTCACTCTAACAACAATGATAGTCGTTTTCTAACTATATTGCACGTTGAAATCATTAAAGGAAAACTCAACTTTCGAGAAATGGCCTTTAATTTTTTGAAAGTATATTGAAATATAGGAGATAGTTTATCATTTTTGTAGACATTTGAAATGAGTACTTGTGTCAAAAAACATAACTTATTTGGTCCCAAAAATATTCCTCTTTCAACCCGATATCCCAACCGGTGGGTCATAATAACGTTAACTTAGCTATCCGTGTGACTCGTCCAGTCGCCATGGATAACCAGTGGAGTGATTGGCCACAAAGACGGACTGACTAGGTTGATAGACGACGAGGGCAGTTCTGACTAAACATCTGACCAGTAGGGCCAGCACAACAGGGCGCTACTGGCGCGAGAGCGACATAAAGCGGGACAGGTCGATGCGAGATTAGCAATATATCGCGCTTTATGTCTCGCGCTAGTCGCGCCCTATCGTGCTAGCCCTACAGACAAGACGTCCTCCCCTGGACGTCCTACATTTTCCATTATACAGGCAGATCGTACATCGTGTGCGCTTGCAAATAAAACATGTAAGTCTCGATGGATACAGATCTTTTTAGTGAAAGTATTCTAGCACAAGACGCTGGTTTAATCTATATTGATCAACCTACGCAGATCTGTCGTGTTCACTAAACGATAAGAATGTTGATTACAGACACATGCGATGAAAGGATAACACTTCGAAGGCAAGTTAGCAAGAAGTTACTAGTTACATTTAAAAATTCAATCACAATCACATGAACAAATTGAAGAATTAAGGCCAATTGAAGTGTAGTAATATCAATTTGCAATGTACACGACATCGAAACAACGAAATCAGAACAACCAGAACAGATCACTGACCTCTGAACAACTGTACATTACCAAAAGTTGCAATGAACAGAGGAAGTCGTTCTGATGTTCAACGTCGATAAACTTATTCTGGAATAATCTATAGTGGCAGATCATATCTTTAAAAATATTAAGGTTGAGGGAGTCTTTATGCTTATAGTCACGAAATCGCATTAAAACGGTCAGAAAAAACTTATTGTTGCTTGTTCTTTGTAGTGTAATAACTGATTAATTGGTATACTAAAATTTATTAACCAATAAACAGTTTCCGATGCATCTGTTTTCACTATACATGGTAGGTTTTAACAAGGCAAACCTACAACAACTGCGAGGCAACTAAGTACGAGTATCAATACGTATTAATAATTTGGCATTGGAATTGAACGAAAACTAGACACACAAGTTTATTTTATCTTTTTTTTTATAATATCAAGTGACGGTACGAACAAATCGCGCGCCCTCTAGTAAGCCACACGCCTGCCCATAACAGTTGTAGTGTTAAAGGCCCATTTAGATGGAGAGTCTATCGTACGCTTCGTGACGAAAAATCGTACGCGATTATCGTAGGTAATAATCGCCATAAGATTATCGTATCATAATGTTTACATTCAGGCAAGAACTAAAATCTTGCCTACGATTATGTCATTCACGAGATTCGCAAGCAACTTAATTGCCTCCTCGACTGTTTACACGGAGAAATATGTGGTAAGGAGATTTTTGCTTACGAGTTTTCGACTTGTCTAAACACGATCTCGTATGACATTTTTTCAAGTTCATACAATTATCGTACAAATCGGTTCAAATCGGTTTTGAGTGCGAGAATGCCATTCGAGTTCAGTGATTACTGCGGTATTGACAATGAATATATCAAAATGACGCAAAAATCATTAGAATTTGGAACTGCTGATAATATTAAGTTCATTGCACTGTATAGAAATATATTCAAGTATCAATTCAAGTTCTATCTACACGGAGACGTTCAATAATCAAAGGCGAGGCGATTATCGCTCACGTGACAGGGCGATAATCGCGAATGTTTAGATGAGGAAAGTTTTTTGTCTTCGAGACGAGAAACTTTCTCCATCTAAGAGCTTTAAATCATAAAGATCTGGGGGCACCGCCACTGCGCCCGTCACCCTGAGCCATAAGTTGACAACTCTCATGTGCCTGTAATGTCAACAGCACCCTTATCCTTCACAACCGGAACACATGCTTGCGGGTAGAAATAGATAAGGTCTTTATACAAAAGTCTACGAAACATGATGGTGTTTCTGAAGTCTGCGTTTGGAAATATGCACTTATAAAAATTAGTATGTTAATTTTTAACTTTAAATTGAAGTATAATAACAATTGATATGACTTCTGGTATCTTTATAATGAGGGCAATGAATTCATCATGGATAAACATTCTCTCAATTTATTTTAATGCTCCATTTTGATAATTGTTGAGATATGTAAACAATCTTGATAATTATTATTGTTTTAAGATTTATCACTAATTAGGGCATTTACCTGAGGAACTTTAAACATAACATTTCATTAAAAATCACCCAAAAAAATAAACAGTTAATTTAAACAAAAAAAATATTGTTAAATTAATCAACTACGGCCCGCGTGATATAGACCCTACTTACATAATTACAGAAAAAAAACTTCATTAGCAGTGGATGTTGGTTCACAAAATCAAACTGCGATTTCTATATAATTTACCGAACTATATAAGACACTGACCTGTAGAATCCAGATTTATTATCGGCGTTATCCTTGATGCTCTTCTTGGTGTCAACTTCGCTAAGCACCACAAAGAAGTGATGGCATTTATCACACTTAACGAAGCGTGTTGAACTAACGAAGGTCTCTACGTGTGTGCAGGGATCGCCACATTTTGGACAGGTGAGGACGCCGTTGCCGGACCCTTTTTTGCCGCCTGATGATGTACCTGGGAGGAAAGAGATGATTAAAGGAATAAAGCGACTAAAGACTAAGATTAGAAACTTAATAGACAGAGCTTTCCCAAGAAGAACTGATGATAATGATGAGATGAATGATACGCTTATTCTGGTAGTCGATATCGACAGAAAGTATCAAGCAACAATTCTGAAAATATGCGTACAAATATGTGTACAAATATTAAAATCTGCAAAGACTATAGGGTATTTCAAAAGAATAGACAAAGTTTCGGTAGATTACAGTAAACCTTAGATCTTTTGTTGTAACTGCGTAACAATGAGAGGAGAACCGTCGTGCAATATCTAGGCTTTAGTCACAGTTTAGCAACATTGCAGTTTCACTTTATGCTTTCTGAATATGTAACTGAAATACACTAGCTGTTGTGCTGTGAGTCACGGATTAACAAGTTAGTAGTAACGTGTAAAAATTCTGATACTTCTGTAAAACTTTTTACATATATAAAAAAGTTAATTAATATTTACGAGAAAGGCTATTCCATTACTCTTGTGTTCAAGTAATTTTCAGTCGAAGCTAAATATGGTGCATTTTGTTAAGTTTCCAGTAGAAGCTGAATATGTTGTATTTCGGCCCTTAAATTGTTGTAAGCAAATTTAGGCAGTACTGCAATGACGTTACAATTTAAATTAAATGTTTTAGTTTTTTGTATTTCGTTACATGTCTCTACGTTTGTACAGGTTATCCTCGGACATTTTTTTCGTGGTTTTTGTATTAGACCCGATTTCAATTTGTCGTAGGTCAATGATCTAAGGTGATATCTGCGATCAATGACACCAGCTAGTAAAAGCTCCAGGAAGCTAAAACTGCATGAAGAGATCAAAGAAAGATGGCGACATCCCGTGTATTTTGTGACGCAGTGTTTTTGACGATGTGCATTACCAAAGCATCAAAAAAGCAAATTGAGTAGAGCCTGTAGAAGGTGGGGTATAGGTTATGTTTATAACATTGTTCTGTATTTCGCTTCAGATGTTTGTTCGTAGTGGCAGAAAACAGCAAGTTTTCAGTTTGTTCTGCAGCAATGAAAATGAATAGAAATTAAATCTGCCCAAATGTGAGAATACTGCCACAAAAGGTCACACTGTTCCCGATATAAATGTGATATTGACATTGGCAACAGGCTTCTTGTCAAAACGTTTGCGCAACTTTCATTATCTCTCATTTAAATATTTAAATATTGTCTAAACATTTTCGTCATAATTATTGTGGTTTATATTTTACTTTATGTCATTACTGTTTAATTGATTATTTCATTAGGTATTTTATAGCTTTAAAGTTTTATGTGTGTGCTATAAAATAATCAATGCTTGAGGTAGGTAAATATTCAATCATGAATACAATGAAACGTACGTACAAGAACGTTACCTAATCTATGGACGAATTGAATCAATTGCGTTGTGTTCTTGCATTTATTTTAAAATACAAAATTTTACAATTTCTTTATTCCCGACTTTTAAAAATATACAAAAATATATTGATAAGTATGCATAAACTAAAACGTAAAATCATACTAGCAAAGTACGTGAACGGCCTTCGTCGTTATTGGGGCAGCTTTCGCCATCCTTCTTTAGAATTTGTGATGATCTAAGAAAAGTGGACGAAGGGTAGATGTGATAAGCCTCTCCACACATGTCGAAGTTGTGAGAAATAAAACGATAACCGTTTACGACAACAAAGTTGTTTGCTGTCTAAAAAGACTGGTGACTTGAAATAAAAAAGTGAAATTGATACACTGAAGAATTACTTAAAAGTATCGACTATCTTATTTATAGGAAATTAGAAGAACAATTGTCGGACTTTCAGTCGGGCTTACGAACGGTTCTATGTGGACACTGTGTGTACGTGGGGCGCACTATAAGTTTCCGGAATGAATAAGAAAAAAATACTATAAATGGTCAGAAATGAATTTATTGTTTCTCAAAATATTTTCCGTTAGTGTTAATGCACTTTTTCATACGAATGATCCAATTTTGAAAACACTTATGCCACTCCTCCGTGACAATCTCTGAAACATATTTTTCATACTCTTCGACAGCCTATTCAGGTGATGAATCTGCACTTTGCACGGGCGCTAATTTGGTTGGTTTCGCCTAATCTCGAAAGAGTCATACGCTCGATTGCTGCTTTGTTTTGGGATCGTAACTATAAATCCATGTTTCGTCACCTGTTACTTTGTCCTACACCAAATTTGACGACCCTCCGTTGAATCTAGTAAGCGTGGCATTACACCAAATGACGCGACCCGTTTTTTGAGCCTCAGTCAAATTGTGCGGGATCCAGCGGGAGCACAGCTTTTTCACACCCAAATGTTTGTATAGTATTAATTGTATTTGACTCGTGCCAAAAGATGCCCGAATCTCATGGTATGTCACATGCCTGTCTGTTTTGATCATAGGGCGCGCAGCATCGATGTTTTTATTGTTCACAGCAGTGGACGTGATGGTCGCCCACCATCACGAAATTCGCCACTGAGATTCACACGACCGCGTTGGAATTCTGCAAACCAGTTATAAATAGTCATCTTGCACGATGCTTCATCGCCAAAAGCAGTTTGAAGTCGAGCGAAGCTCCGCTGAGCTGTTAAATTACACTTAAAGTCCTACGTCTTTCATCATGAAATCATACTACGAAAATTTTCACGAGTTAAATCCGTAGTGATGTAGACAACCAATTTCTAATATGACGCCACAATGTAAAAACAAGTGCCAGTCAGATGAAACAAACTGTATTCTATAGCCAAAGAGTTCCACTTTCAAATGTTGTAATTATTTTTTAAATTTTGTTTATGTAAGTGGCCAGTTCCGGAAACTTATAGTGCGCCCTATGTATGCGTGTGAAAGGCTTTCGAGATGTGAGTATATAAAAAATATCTTGAACAGATGGGAGTGCGGAACGAGACGGTACTGCAGAAGATATACTACAGATGTAAGTACCACATGACAACAGATCTTCTGTAGCTTATTTCAAGAAAAGATCCAAAGACGTAGAAAACCACGCCAATGTGTAACATCTTGCCTCAAAATTTTCAGAGAATGGTTAGGCGAGAGCACTGTTTAAAGCAATAGATAAATTTTGAATCGATATGTAAGACGTCTTCCACCGTTTGGAGATAGCACAGGGAGAGAATTATAACGTCACTTGATACCACCACCATCATACTAATATAATGAACAGAACAATCATTAGAAGTGGTATTTGGCTAAAGGCTTCGAATACTGTACCTGAGTTAACATCCTTGGGCGGATGTGTGTGTGGCGGATGAGGCGGCTGGTCAGCACTTTTGCACAACACGGCACAGGTGCTGAGTGAGCGGCGGCAGGGTGAGCACGAGCCGGACCCTGCGCCGCACCAACCACACGCCCGCCGAAGGGCGCGACATGATGGAACGCCTCCTGCTGACAATACAGACACGTCATTAGTCCGTAGGTCGACAAAGGTTGTAACCACGACCCTCGGCTAACGAGAAACCGAGGAGTCAACTCTGCTTTAAGTAAAAGGATTATAGACTCTTAAACTACATCTATGTATACATAAATTAATGTATGTTTGTCCCGTATACGTTTCATTACTATTCATCCAATGGTGACAAAACTTTCACGCCCGCAAATATTCTGAAATATTGGAACCATTTTAAAATATCAAGCTTTTCATCAAATGTAGGTATCTATAGACGAGAAGGCGGTTCTTTCGCAGGTGCACTTTCCAAAAAGTTTTTTTTCTTTTAGCAACAGTGCAACGTACGCCAGGTTTTTAACCGACTTCAAAAAAAGGAGGAGGTTCTCAATTCGATAGTATGTTTTTTTTTCGTATGTATGTTACGCGATAACTCCGGTAGAGGGAAAAGAGGGTACCTATATAGTAGTCCCATTTAATTTTAAAGAAAATCATCCGCCTCTAAGGGTGGCTGTTCACGCATGAAGATTCATTTTTATAAATAGCGCCTAAATGTTATTATAAGGAGCAATTAAAGGCGTTTTTCTCTCAATATACTTCGAGTAGTGAGAACCGATTTTTATTATCTCCTGTGTCAAGTCCCGTATAGTGGCGAACTAGGGGATGAATCCGGGTTTGCTCACTTTTTCCGGTAACCGATTTCAACAAAATTTGGTAATTATATGTACTTCCACGACTTTTAAGGTCGGTTTTTTTTATTAGTTAGGGATGTAAATAGTTTCGACTATGAAAAAGACAGTTTACAGTAATAAATGTAAAACGGACTTATATGGTCTTGAAACTTCCAATTTTTGGATTACGAGGTGCTAGTTAGGAATGGGAATGATGTGTGCGCTTCGTAGACAGCATTCAAACAACAACCACGACTGAGCGTTTCATGATTTCCTTTAAAATAACAAATCGTAAAATTCCAAAACAGAGAGTACAATAGAAAGTACAGTGAATCAATTAAGCGCAGTGGGAAATTCAACAATCTTGGTAATCCTTGTTTTCTTCGTAATCTTTATTTAATTGGGCATTGTTTGAATTACGTACGTAACACTGTATTGTTCTAACAATTTGTTTCAACCTAATGTTCAATTTAGTTCTACCCACATCGTTCCTCCTTCGGTCAACTAGAAAGTCCGGAACATTCCATACTTACATCTTCGATATACCACCTATTTGAGCGCTTTGCTTCCTCCTATCTAATGCATACGGCAAATGCAAATGCTTTAAAAAGCTACTTAAAGGAGGGTTTCCATTATGTCGTGACGTTATAATTATTGATGGACGACTGTCGCTTTTAGCCTGTTCCCATGTCACAGTCACTGTGTCGTGGACGTTTTTTTATCGTTGAACGACTATCGTGTCTAGCTGTTCCCCAGGATCGTGACAATTTATCGGTTCACGGCAGCCGCCTAGTCGTTTGCGGATCGTTTGATGCACAGCCGAGGGTGCGGGGGATGAGAGGGGAGAGTAAGAGCAGAACACGTGCAGACAACGATAAATAAAACGTGATGATTATTATCGTAGCTACTATTCTAGCTGCGATTATCCGTCGTTACATTTTTATCGTGACTTTTTATTTATGTTGTCTTGACTGTCTGTTGTCGTAATGTCAAAAAAAGTCGTGAACGACATTTAATCTTGTTGTACTATATATTATGTGAACAACTTTATTTAAATATGTGTGGTAACGACATACGAACCAGCGACTTTTTCGCCGAACCGGGGACATAAGGAAGTAATTTTTATTTGTGTTTGTTCGATCTGTTTATTAACAAATTAATAGAGCCCGTGCTTGCTTCACACATGCCTCATCTAGAATATGGAATGACCTACCTCTTCCCGTAACACCGGGGCGATGTTTTTATCATTACGAAATGCTCACAATGGCTATTTTACAAGCATCACATTCTTATAATTCGTGTCTTGTGTGTTGTTACACTGGTTTTTAATCATTTGGAATTACAATAATATTTTGCATTTTAATTTATTAATGTATTCTGATGCACATATGTGTGCTATACCAGGGTGTATGTGTTCCTGACCTTTAAGGGTCATTGCAGAATATCATCGATGACAATGTACTTCATTGTCCTCTGTACCGGAGTCATAGACCCACTTGACGTGTGTTTTTGTTTATTATTATTAATACAATACCAAAATTATTTCTTGTACACCAAAAAAGAAACCAAATATAATACAATTAAAAATAAGCGGGCGGTCTTATCGCCGCGTTAAGTGATTTCCGCCAGACAGTCTATTACCTCAATTTGCATATTATTTTCTTTTCAAATAAACTTTTTTTTTTTTCACAAAAAAGACATGAATATTATGATTGTAAAAACATTACCATATTCAATATAATACTAATAACTTTATTTCATTTCAAAAGTCGTTTTGCACAATGATAAAGTGCCCTCTAGTAAGTAAAATATACCTGTAGCAGAGGACTCCGCTCTTCCACAACAAGATACTTATTTTAAACTTAATACTAACTTAGATAGTTGATGAAACTTAAAACGTTACACAGAATTTGTTCAGTGTGTGTGTAAGAATAGGCATTTTATTTAGATTTCTGTGTTTACAAGTGTTTGCAAACACCGCCAAGAAAAGCTGTGTCTAGTACTGCTGAATATAGATATTCTTTAAGAAGAGCTTTAGGCTATAGCTCTATTTTTTATTTATTCATTTAAAGGAAGATCAACAGCTTAAAACTAATTTAAATAATACTAGCAACAACTGAGAGCCAATTAAGAATACTAACAAATAAAAATATAAAAAGAAATCTGGGTGAACAGTTTACCTAACATATTATATAAAAAAAAAAGAAAAACCGCAGCAGTTGTAACCCTCACTAAGATTCAAAGAAGTGCTCACTCAGTGTTCTCATTGCCGAAATCACACACGTATTGGAAAGATCCAGATCAAAAGTATTACATAAAATTGTTTCTGATTGGTAATTTCAAGTCTTGAGAAAGTTTTACGACCCCTAGTTAAACGAACAAGTCTGAAAAATTCGATATCGAAAAAGTTTAATTTCGAAATTGACCTTGGCGGTATTAACCTTGTTGAGTTTAACTATCTTTGGACCTTGATGGGAATCGAATTACTTGTTTAAGTGGATTTATTTTAAAAGAGCCGTTCATGTTCTTGTGTTAATCACAAATAGTTTTCTCTAACACAAGAAGGAAAACTGGAGCATCTTATCACGACTTATAAGATACCATATCAGAATTGATAACAAATATCATAATTAGATGTAAATATAAATCTGTTTAAATATTTAAAACTTTGCATTAGATATGCAAAGTGTAGTATAGCCCGTACTTCTCAATTGAGACGAGACGTCTCGGTTCGAATTCCAGTGGCAACATATATATATATACCTATGAGTTTAATCTCTAAGTTATATGCATTTGTAAATATTTCATTTTATATATCATGTGTTCTCCCCAACCTGTGTTAGGCTAGTGAGGAGACCCGTGCACAGTAATGGGACGTGTAAAGGACCGTTAATGATGATGAACTTTGCAAATTTTTGTAATCTACAAACGGAATGGTAATACCGGCCATAACCTAACCCAACACGGCTTTGTTTATGAAAGTAACTCTGTATTCAATCAATGGCAATTTCCAACCAGTTTACGTAAGTGAAAGTAAGATTATTCTCGTTTATAAATACTTGTGTAGTACTGGAAATAATTTTCCGATACGTTGAAATGTTATGTTTTGCCAAGCCAGTTACGTTGGCTATCCCCTGGAAGATCAAAGTGCCGTAGCAAATGATTCCATCGTTGCCAAAGAAGACGCAAGCAATAAACAAATAATAAGCAAGACATTGTGAATAATTTAAATTCAAAACATCTTTTTTTAATAACTAAACAAATGACAATTGAAATCATCACATGAGCACTATTATAATAGTAAGTGTAACAAGAACACGCATGGTAACTCCATACAAATATGTATAGCAGCGCGGCTTTTATGTGTACACGCCTGTCGCGCGCCTTGTACGGGTGCACACATTCACATAATCTCGCAGTGCACTAGCATTGCATAGCGCTGCACGTCATACGCACCATCATTATAGAATTGAAACGTTCGTTTGGTGTTTAAAAACTGACATATAGTATACGTGTTTATTGTTTGGTTTCTGGTTGTTTGAAAAGAATGCCTCAAATTCAGAATTATCGTTATTTTCGATACCTACAGAACACGAGAGACAAGTCACACATTTTTTTATTTATTTGACGACTTTGGTGGCCAACCGGTTAGCCGCACTACCTAATGCGTTAGATGAGGAGAATAATTGTTATTTTGAACACATAAGAGATATTAAACGGCCCCAAACTGTCTGTGGGTGACCTTCCACAACATAAACAGTCTATGGACTCAAGTGAACCGAGCTACTATTTGGGATCTCCAGTCTAGAGATGGGATTACAAATTTCGATAAATTTATCAAGTATCAGGCTATAATTGACCAAGATTAATGATGTTCATCAGTGGTTTTTTCTCATGATACCAAATGTCGTCAGTTGCAGTGCCACTCAGAGCTTTAAATCGCAAAGATCTTTAAAGATCACTGCGCCCGTCACCCTGAGACATAAGTTGACAAGTTTCACGTGCTTGTAATTTCACCTGAACCCTTACCCTTCCTAACCGGAACGCAGTAATGCTCACAGGCAGTATTTCCCTGGGCGTACTCTTTCACAAGGAGCTCTACTGCTACAAATAATCATTATATCAAACTGTATACACGTGAGTGAATGTATCAAGCTACGTCACCATGACGTCGTAATCATTTAAAACATTTATTATTATTCATTCTCTTTAAGATTTAAGATATCCTTCGGAAGTTGTTCGGGGAATGGGAAATTTGCTAAAGTTACTTTATATGTGTTATGTATTTATGTGTATGTAAGCGATCTTGACATCCTTTATTTAAAAGCCAA